GGGCTGCTCATTTGCTCCGCCCACTCGGTACCAGTAACCACTCTTCAGTACTGGGAACCAAGAACCAGGGAACTCAGATCTGACATCTGGTCCCTGCACCTGACACCAGGCCATAAATACCAGGGACTTGGAATTCTGACAATTTGTGTGTGATGCTCATTTATGAGGGGTGCACTGGATAGACTATGCCAGAAACATCTGTCTGTGATGCTGAAGTCCTTGGCTCAATGTAGGAAATTCTGAATCTCTTTTAGCCTTGGGGTACACTTTCGATATCCTTCTAAGTGCTGAATTCCTAAAACAAAGAAACCATCTGACAGGAATGTTAGAGTTTACCCAAGGACAAGAAAAATATCAGCGTTTGGCTTGTAAACCAGATGCAGTGGCTGTGACGGTCCCGAGAGGGAGGCAGCGTGGCGTCAGCGCGGCTTGCAGACCGTGGTGCTGTGCTGTCACACATTAGCAGGAGAAAATGAAGCAGAAGAATCCCCTGCCCCACCCCTGAGATACTCTCAGCAAAGTGCTTTTTCATCAAAGCCTCTGCTTCTTTGACAAACATGCTCCATGATGCATCTAGGGAATGTCTCCGATGTAGAAAAATCCAAGGTCAGAGACACACTGGGTGTGGGAAGCATCCATTCAAGCATCCATACAATAGCTATTTAGTGAGCACCTACTGTGTGCCAGGTACTGATCTAGGGATTGGAGATACAGCCCTGGACGAGACAGACAAGTTGCTGACATTCCAATGCAGAGAGACAGACACTAAACAGCTAAACAAATGAGCCAGATCATCTTTGCTATGAATAATGCTTATCTAGAAATGAAAGCTGCGTGATGTTCAGGGCAGGGAAGGTTTCTCTGAGGAAGTATGCATGGCAGGAAGGGGCAGCCATGGAGATAGCTGCCGTTTAACTCAGTCCTTCAACAAGGGGCTGGCAGTAGAGCAGCTGTCGCACCTGTGCTCCCTTCTCCTGCGGAGGCTGGAGTTTTCGTTCACCTCTTGCAGGCGTCCTTCACTCACACCCTGTCCACCACCCTGTCCCTTCAGTGGACTGTGGTGGCCTCCTGAGAGGCCAGTGGACTGTGGTGGCCTCCTGCTGCCCAGCCCTCCCTCTTCAGAGCTGCCACTGTGTCCTTCCAGACCAGCCTCACCTGCACGAGCCATGGGACCGCATGCTCCCGGCTGCCCCAGCCAGCCTGGCCTTCCCTGTTTTGCTGTGATGCTCCAGGCTGTCTGTGGGTTCAGGGCTCTATTGCTGGGAGCCCATCTCTTGACCCGTCTGTGGTGCAGAAGGCCCAGGACTGGGCGCCAGGAGACCTAGGTTCTTATTCCAACTTGCTGCGTGACCTTAGTTAAGCCTGTCTGGACTCGCACTGTGAAATCAAAGGATAGCACCAGTGATTCTCGAGCTGCTCTATAGGACCCAGGTCTTTTCTCTGTGCAGAAGTGCTTGAATTTTATTCAAAACTATTTTTATGATTGTAATAGGAAATCAAAACTCCAATGGGTTATATGCTAAATATCAACATATTAAACCCAATATGTTAATCTGTTTTGTGAGGCAAACTCATTTTTTGCACAGACCTTAGAATAAAGCTTTTTCTGCCATCTGTGTGTGTGTGCATATGTGTGTGTGCATATAGATACAAACTAATAAAATGTCATTGATTTGAAGGTTGTAACTCTGCTCTTACTTGGCACGCCTGCACCCAGCGAACAGTAGAGCAGGTGCATTACTGCGGCACCTGCCCTCCCTGAACAGCTTTCTTCCAGGCCCGGCTCCGACTCGTGTGCTCTTGGCTTGTTCTCAGTATGTTCTTGTCATCTACAATCATCAGTTTCACAGGGCCGAGTGAACATTGTAATATAGACAGAGCTTGCCTTTTTTAGATACACGTTTTAATTGGAAGTAACTTTAGATTTGCAGAAAAGTTGCCAAGATAATACAGAGTTCCTCTATACTCTTCCCCTGGCTTCCTATAATATTAACCTGTTACACGGCCCTCAGCCACTGTCAGGGCGAGGAAATTAAAACTGGACAGCACCGCCACCCAAATCACAGACCTTATTCAGAGGGCACCAACTCTTCCACTGCCGTTCTGGGGGTGTCCCACATGGCATGAGCTGTCCTGGCTGCTTAGTCTCGTCCAGTCTGGGATGGTTTTCCAGTCTTTCCTTGTTTTTCATGACCTTGACACTTTAGAAGAGTACCGGGCATGTGTTTGGTAGACTCTCCCTCCGTTTGGGTCTGTCTCATGTTTTCTCGTGGTTAGACCAGGGTTGTGGGATTTGGGGACATGGTCTACGTGGACCAACCATTTTAATGCACAGAGATCTTGCCCTCTAGCAGCCGTGCCCAGCTGGCATTTGGGGATACGACCCAGTCAGATTAGTATTTCCTGCTCTTGAGCAGGATGGAGGAGAGACGAGCGCATGGGCCCAAACCTTGAATGTTTCCACTTTAATTCCTCAAAAAGATAGGGAGAGGATTGGGTGGAGGGGCCCCTTGTCAGGAATCGCTGGGGGTGCTGAGCAGTGTCACTGTGGCGGGAGGAAAGACGAGGACAGCTTGGGCAGCGGCCGGGGCCCTGCAGGGAATGGCCAAGTCCTCTGTTGTATGTCGCTGGAAAATTGATGAGAGGTGGAGAGGGGAAGGAACTGTGAGTCACTCATCTCAGAAATTAGGGATTATTTGATACTGTTGGAAACGGAATGCAAATCTGTGATCAGAAAGACAGTCGTGGTGTGTGTGAGAGTGTGTATGTGTGTGTGTGAGTGTGAGCATGCACCTGAGTGAATGTGTGAGTGTATGCATGTGTGTATATGAGTGTGTGTGAATGACGCAGTGTGTGTATGTGAGTGTATCTATAAGTGTGTCAGAATGTGTATGTGTGTGTCTGAGTGTGTGAGTGTATGTATGTGAGCATGTGAATAGGTATGTGTCTTGACACGACGTGTGTATGAATGTATGACGTGTGTGTGAGTGTATGTGTGAGTGACACAGTGTGTTCATGTGAATGTATGTATGAGTATGTGACACTGTGTGTGTGAAAGTGTGTGTGAATGTGTACCTGAGTGTATGTGTGTGAAGGTATGCCTGAGTGTACGTATGAGCGTGTGTGTGACACAGTGTGTGTATGTGAAGATATGAGTGTGTGAGAGTGTGTCTGAGTGTATGACAGTGTGTGTTTGTGAGCGTATGTGCGAGTTGTGTATTGAGTCTATGTGTGAGTGTGTAAGAGAGTGTGTACAACACTGTGTGAGTGTGCTTGTGAGTACGCATGTGTGTGTGGGTACATGTATGAGTGTGTGAGTGTGTATGTGTGTGTAGACACTGTGCGAGTGTCTGCACGAGTGAGTGCGTGTGAGCCTGTGGGGCAGGCAGTGGATTGGGAGCCAGGCCGTAGTTCCTGCCTAGTCCACATATTCCACAGTCTGCATCTGAGTTTCCTCTGGGCACCAGGTGAGCCCCTACCAGCCGCACAGACTCACCGCCAGGAGGAAATAAGCATTCACAAACCCACGCTCGGGGGAATGTGAAGCGATGCACCCGTGCAGGGTGCTGCCACCGCCCAGGAGAGTGAAAAAATAGGAGCTGGCAATTATTGGTCAGAGAGGTGAGCAAGAGAACAGGATGGAAAAGGGAGTGAGGCTCCTGGAGCACAGGCTTGAGTAGAAACCCACGTCTACATTTTGCACTCGAGTGTGCTGAATTCCAAGGTCAGAAAAGCCTCCTGCGCAGAGCGGAGGGCGTGGACTCGCGTTCCCACTGCCTGTCTTCCCAACCGCGAGCCCGATTTCCATGTCTAATCCCGGCAGGACATTATATTATTGTCTGTGGCGGGACAGTATATTATTACAGGCTAATTAAGGCTGTTAATGATAACGGCAACACAGTAAGTAATCTGTGAATTAGCCTGATCCATCTCGGTCACCGCCTTTCATCAGGCCGTTAAGGTGACAAGCTTCACAGAACGCGGTAATCTCCCCTCTGTCGGCCCCTTGCTGTTTTTCTCCCTGGAAGAGCTACGAACTCCCCGGGGCTGAGTCATAGGAGGACATAGCTGAAGGGCCAGATCAGCCAAGCTCCTCCTCTACTCATAAGACCTGGGCACATGAGAAGTCTCCTTTTCCCTCCCTGTTAAGAACTGAATGTCTGCGTCCCCCTGAAATTCACATGCTAAATTAATGTGATGGCATTTGGAGGTGGGGCCTTTGGGAGGTGATTAGTTTTAGATGCAGTCCTGTGGGTGGGGGCCCCATGATGAGATTCGTGTCCTTGTAAGAAGAGGAAGAGAGACCAGAGCTCTCTGTGCCATGTGAGAACACAGTGAGGAGGTGGCTGTCTGCAAGCCAGGAAGAGAGCCCTCACCAGCAACCAAATCTACTGGCACCTTGCTCTTGGCCTTCCCAGCTCTGGAACGTGAGAAATCAATGTGTCTGTTGTAGGCTGTTCTGTGGTATTTTGTGATAGCAGCCCAAACTGCCCAAGATACTCCCCTAGTATTACAGAGACTGAGGCCATGAGATGAGGGCAAAGGAATCATCAGCTAAGACCTGGTACCTGGTCATGGTGCAGGTCCTTAATGGGCATCCTTAGCAACAGATGGGTCACCTTGGAGCCCACACTCGGCTACAATCTAAGCCACACATACTGAGAAGGCATTCCAGTACTTCCTGGCCCAGTGGCATTGGGTGTGGTCCTAACCCAACAGGAAACATCTAGTGGTCTTCCCAGCACCCTCGGGCTCTCAGCTGCTATGCCCACCTCTCCTTACCTGTGCTTTAGGTGGGCGCACAGGGTTGGCAGCTGTTTTAGGAAGCGAGAAAGGGAGAGAGGTGTCTTTGGGATTTTTATAAGAAGAGGAGACTCAGAACAAACCCTCCCCAAATTCTGAAACTGGGATCCAGCAGGGAACTCGTCATCAAAGCCCCCGTATAAAGCACTTTCTCCATTTCTCAGACATTGAGTCATCTCATCTTTAATTTTGGATGGGACATGCATATTGTATATTCTTTCCAACCACAAATCAACTGCCATCGTTTTCTTCATCATCTTCCTCTTTAGGACCATCATGAAAGAATTATAGTGGCTGGGGACCATCCGTTTTCCCGGCACTGATGCTGAAAGGGGGTGGGGGAACAAATATCCTATTGGAGAAAGGTACTGTTCTCCACTGAATTGAGATGTGTTTTTGGTTGCCCAGCCCCTTTGGTGGGGAAGACACTGGGGAGAAGCTACCGGTCGGGACAGGCACGTGGCCCCTGGGAACACAGGCTGCACGGGGCTCTGTCCCGGCCCAGACCACGGCCACGTCTGTGGTCTGTGTCTGTGCCAGGGAGGCTTGAGCAAGGCGAAGGGGGTGTTTCCTGGCTGTGATAGTAATAGGGAACGTTTCTTGAGTGCTAACCATTTATCAAGCATTAAGCTAAGCTTACGCACTAAGCCTACGTGCTTTGCAATCACCCCGTGAAGTGGGCATCGCTCCTGTCTCTACTGTGAGGGATGCTTAAGTCACCTGCCAGGGAGACAAAGTCAGAGAGGTGGGGTTTGGACCAACCTTCGCTTGACTCCAGGGTCCTCTGCTCACTTGGTCCTCTGGACCGCCACTTTTCAAACACTGTTGGCTGCAACCCAAAGGAGAAAAACATTTTACCTTATGATCTAGTATCCACACATACAGTTGTAATTAACATTTTCACAAAATAATACTTACATTTCTCAGTGTCTGATTTTTAGAAAGATTCCATTCTTTTTTTTAAAGGCTGGTTAGATCCACTAAATCGATTTCACAACTCACTAGTGGACTGTGGACCCTCAGCTTGTAGACTCCTCCCTTTGGTGCCTGAGAGAGTCATTTTAACCACCACAAGCAATTCTAATAAGGGCGTGTTTCTCTGGCCCTGAGACTGGGCCGGCATAACTAGGAGAAGAGAAGGTCCTCAGCCGGTTTACGCTGCATTTGGATTTGGTGCAGACTCCAGAGGCTGTTTTGTGGGGAAGGAGATCAACCAGGCAATCTGGCAGCCAGAATTAAGACACCCTTGGTGTGTCTGCCACGTGTTAGGTACCATGGAGTTCTGGACTTACATGTTCAGGTTCCTGCTGTTATGGATCTTTCTCAAAGAGCACCCCCACGTGAAACAACAGGGGAACGATACCAGACAGGCAGAAGCCTGAAGGGACCTGGAGGAACAAGGGGACCTTCGTTCACCATTATTTGTCTGCACACAAGCCATTCCAGAAACAGAGCCATAGTCCCAAATGAGCTGCCCTTACACTTAAAACATCTTTCTTCTCCCTTCTGCTCCTCTCCTTCCCTTCCTCCTCCTCATTAATAGACACTGTATTTGCAAGATACAAGACTTAAAAGATTCCAGAGGGCAGACCATTGAAACTTTCCCTCCACGCCTGTCCCCAGCCACCTAATGACCACTCTGAAGGTGACCAGCTCTTCTAGTTTTTATATATCCTCCTAGAAATAGTCTAGCACATATAAGCAAGTGTAAATTAATTTTTCTTTCTTTTTTTTTAACACAAATTATATTGTATCATACTCACTGTTTTGCATCTAGCACTTAATATATCTGGGAGATCACAGCATATCAATAAAGAGTTCTACATTCTTTTTTTTTTTTTTTGGCACTTTCTAGAAATTCATGTTTGAGTGGACCATACTTTATTTAACCAGTCCATTATTGAAGGAATATTTAGATTATTTGTAATCTTTTGCTGTTATAAAAAAATGAAGCAACAGATGACCTTGTTTCACTCTGCGCTGTGTCTAAGCATGGCCTGCGGTGGTCCCCCCAGATCTCTGCTTGCATCTCCACCTTTGCCCCACCATGCCCGCCCTCTGCCCCCCTCAGCTTCAAGCCTGGCTGCCCCCTCATCGGTTGCTCTCTCCTCCCTCTGCGCATCTGTGCGTGCTGTTCCTTCTCTTTGGAATAGCCCCAACCCCTGGCTGACTGCTAACTCACCTTCTGGTCTCAGCTCGAGAAATCCTTTCCGGAGGCAGCTCTGTCCATCCTTGCAGCGTTCTATAGACTTGTAATCAGTCACTTAATACTACACAGGGTGGCCCTGAAGTCCTTATGATGTGGGGAATTTTAATAAATTTACTTCTATGATATAAACAATCTGCAAGATGGAAAAGAGAAGGAATTTAATCATAATTTACCAAATTTAATTACAGAAGTGTTGGCTTTTGACATATCCAGCATCATTTTAGATACATTTGGATATAACCATTCCATATAGCGAAGGGTTTATTACCTAGAAAATTAAAGAAAGAAATTAGAATAAATGAATCATTAAAAATTTCATTGAAATCTTGAGCAAATTTGTTCTCCGTTGCATTTTGCAAATTATTTATATACATTATATAGAAGTGAATTTATTAAAAACTCAAACGGCACAAGAACTACACGGATATCCTAATTTCATTTCTTTTACCGTATTTCCTCTAACACATACACGCTTTTCTCCACATTTCACATTTCTGAAAGCAGGGTGCATCTTACTATCAGTGCTGTCTTTGATGGCGTGGGCCCGGCAGCCGTTGTGACTACTGTCCTTGCCATCTGAGCAGCACACACTCGGCCATGCTTGTCCCCATTGTCATCCCTTCAACTCAGTTAGGTACATGATTGGCAGTGCACGTTTGGGGTTTAATGTATATTTAAAATACCTTCAAAATGATGTCACTCTGATTTAGTACTGAAACAAAAAAGTTTATGTAGAAAGAAAATAGAATAGCAGGGTGTCCATTTGATGTTAGCAAGCAAAGCAAATTTTTGTCATTCAAAAGATAATATTAGTTCAGTGTTTTCTTGCACAGTAACAACACAGTGCTTCATAGGACTGTCACAGACTGAATTGTGTACCCACCCCCATCAATTTGCATGTTAAAGCTCTAACCCCCAAGGTGACTGTGTTTGGACACAGGGCCCCTGGGGAGGGAATTAAAGTTAAATGAGGTCATACGGATGGGGCCCTAATCCAATGTGATCAGTGTCCTTGGAAGAAGAGACACCAGGGATGTTCGTGCACACTGAGGAAAGGCCAGATGGGGACACTGCACGAAGGTGGCCATCTGCCAGCCAAGGAGACAGGCCTCAAGAGAAACCAAAGCTGCCTGCACCTTGATCTCGGACTTCCAGTCTCCAGGATTATGAGTTAACAAAGTTCTGTTGTTTAAGCCACCGGGTCTGTGGTACTTTGTTACGGCAGCCCGAGGGAACTTGGACATGAAAAAGAAAGACTGTCACAGGGAGACGAAGCCACATTACAGTTTGTTGTTGACATTCGTGTGAAAGGATTGTATGTCACAGGCCTGCATGACAGCACCAACATCTGTTTTGCGTGATGGGTGTCAGGACTTGGAAGAAAGTCCTGGAGACCATAGTGGAACACACTTCTGGGGAACGCTGCCTCGTCCGTCCTCCATCCGTGGGGCCATTTTCAAGTCTGAGTTGTGAAGAGATTCAGAAGAGCTGGACTCTGAATAAGTAGCTTTTCAGAATGGTGTCATTAATTTATTTTGCCTTTATTTCCCTTTTTGCCTGCATAAGAGCAACAAAAAAATGATATAAATGATTCTAAAAGAATCTTTTAAAAAGTTCTAAGTGATAAGAAGTATTGTGTCTAATTGGCAGTTTCTCTCTCTTTCTCTCTTTGTTTAGTGGACATAGAATGATGGTGTGTCACCAAGCCAGTGGTGTCCTGGGTTTGATGAAATATGGTACATTAGTCAGCTTCGGCTGCCATAACAAAATACCGCAGGCTGGGTTACTTAAAAAACATTTATTTTCTCACACTTTGGGAAGCTATATGTCCACGATGAAGGTGCCAGGAAATTTCTGGTGAGGGATCTCTTCCTGGCTTGCAGATGGCCACCTTCTGTTTGTGTCTTCACACATGCAGAGAGCAAGCTCTGGTCTTTCTTCCTCTTTTTATGATAACACCAACTGTGCCAGATTAGGGCCCCACCCATGTGGCCTCATTTAACCTTAATTACCTCCCCAAAGGCTTTATCTCCAAATAAAGTCACATTGGGGATCAGGGCTTCAATACAGGAATTTTGTGAGGATACACTCTAGTCCTAAGCTATGGTGATATGTATTTAGTATAAACTCTCCTACCGATTGAAAGTTTCCCAGAGACCATAACTGCTTTGATTGTCTGTTCATTGATGACCATTTCTTCTCTGGCCACCATGGACCCCAGCACCTGGCATATGTGGTCTGGCACATAGTAGGTGATCCATGAGCTTCTGTTGGCTCAATATCTTTTCATGATCCTCTCTGAGAACTGAGCACAGTTTCTGCTTTTGGAAACAATGCCGGAGGACTCCCCTTGTGTGCTTCGGACACTGGTGTCCAGGCCAAATCCTGTCTTGGTCGTCATTACCGCTCACAAATGACAGTGTGATGTTGGAACACAGGAGCTCGCCATCCCGAGAAATCCAGCCAGATCTTCTCAACGCACAGCGGGGAAGCCAGACAAAGTGAGAGGCAGGGCTCAGCTGCACTCGGGTCTCCTCTGCAGGGCCCTTTCTACCCATGACTCCAATCAGTTGGCTGGAAATGTTTGAGTGTCACATGGAACTGGGCACTCTGGCCCCAAACCTTTGACAATTTGAGTGTAAAAGCCAAGAAGTTTGTCATTAGAAATCTGAGTGCATTTTGTTTTCTAGCTAGAGATGAAAATTTTAATATTATTTTGGGGAAGATTAGTTCTCGGTTCTGCAGGACCCCCTGAATGGCCCCTTTGGTTATGTGGGGCAGCAGGCGCCCATGTTGGGGAACCAGGGAGGGCTGTGCTGACTTAACGGAGAGGTAGTGCCTGGAACATGTTGGTCATGGGGCTGGCTCTTGGGGGGCTTCTTGGGCAGGGGGAAAAATTAGATAGCAAACATTATATTTTACTTTGCCTGAATTCTTGCTGCTTCTAAGATCACAAGCAATAATATTAGTATATATGTGGCCATGGTGGTGAGGAGGTTGGGGAGGTTGGCAGTTATTTTCAGGAAAATGGAAGCAGGGAAGACCCAAGAGCATGAGGTTTGATCTTCCCCTTGGGCCAGAAGTGGAAACTGAGGCACAGGCTACCGTGTTGTAGAAAATTAGCACAGAAGGCCTAAGAATCAGAAGAATTGTCACTGCCCATTCAGAAAAGGGAAGCCCTGGATCTGGGCACCCAGGATTTGGAGGATGGATCAGAACTGAATCTCAAACAGAGGTGCTTTTTTTTTTTTTTTTTTTTTTTGAGACAGAGTCTTACTCTGTTGCCTTAGCTAGAGTGCCATCAGCCCAGTTCACAGCAACCTCAAACTCCTGGGCTCAAGCAATCCTCCTGCCTCAGCCTCCCAAGTAGCTGGGACTACAGGCCCATACCACCATGTGCCTGGCTAATTTTTTCTCTATATTTTTTAGCTAATTTCTTTCTATTTTTAGTAGAGATGGGGTCTCACTCTTGTTCAGGCTGGTCTGACCTTGAGTAATCCTCCTGCCTCAGCCTCACAGAGTGCTAGGATTACAGGCGTGAGCCACTGCGCCCGGCCCAGAGGTGTTATTGTGACTTGGCTGACCTGCGATAAGGTCTGGGGTCGCCAGGCTTGGCACCGTGCAGGCTGCACTCAGCTCATCCTCGGTGGTGAGCTTTGACAAGGACCTGGGTACAGCAAGGTCACTGCTCCGGGACACTGACCCTACAGAACATGATGTGAGGAGTGCCCACTTGGACTGGGAAGTATAGGACACCTGGATGCAATTCCTAAGCACTTCAGGAACATCCAGAGACTTGGAAAGGATGAGATGTCCTGTAGTTAAGCAGGCTGGGCTCAGAATCACTGCTATTTGTACGCTGAATGTCAATGAGCATTTGTCCCCATGGGCTGAGATGTCCCAGTTAGACACACACCAGAGCACCTCTTACTCCTTCCTAGCTCAAAATGCTTCCCTACTGCCATTCTTTTCTTTTTCCTTTCATGTGATCAGGGCAAAACGGGTAAAAGAGAGCAGAGCAGTGATGGCCCAGTAACCCTGGGTATTAATGCCTGGCATTTTCTTTTGTAGGAGTTTTACCCAGAGCGTCCCATTTTGTCTCACAACTGTCCCAGGTTGAGACTTGCCACCGGGGTTGTTGACCTGCTCATGATGCCATGGGGCAGGCAGGGAGGGGGCAGGGCTTCCTGTCTCAGCTGGGATTGGTTCAGGGTCTGGGAAGGGGGCGGAGCACTCAGCCCATCAGAGAGGGGAAGGCAGAGGCAGGGAAATGCGGGAAGGCCTAACGCTTATGGTTTGGGGAAGTTTTCCCCTTACTTCTGGTTATTTGCTTGTTTGTTCATTTTCTGCTGGAGTAACTGCAACACAGGGGAGAAACTGAGGTATAGGACAGGCTGACGCTCAGGCTGCTGAGGGTTTCTCCCAGATAGACAAGCCTAGCTTCTGTTCGTCAGCCTTCTAGAGTCTTCTTAGGCAGGAGCAAGGGCTAGGGGCAGCTGACGGCAAGTCTAGGGGCATCTTTCCTAATTTTTTACTCCCAGTGGAAGGGCACTCTCAGTGTCTGAGAACACCATGTGGCCTTCCGCTTGTGCAGGGTGTGGAAAATTGCATTCTCGTGTGCTCGCGGTGACCAGGGACAGCCTGGGATGGCAGGAGCCCTGCTCGGGTCTCTCTGTCAATTCCTCCGTGACAGCTGCAGATTCAGAGACCACACTTCAATTACGCACCCAGCAGGTGAGGGGGTGCTTGGACAGGGCCGTCACGTGGAGATCAAGGAGGTAATTCATCCTTTTTACAGCCACAGAATCCAGAGCGGGGACGGGGTGGGGGGAAGGGGGGAGAGAGAGAGAAGGTGAAAGAGAGGGAGAGGATGATCAAAAGGCTCTTTGGGAATGGATATGTAGAGCCATCCATCTCTGCATCCTCTCTCACTCATCCCTGTCATGCCAGGCATTTGTACAAAGCACTGTTTCTGCATCAAACAATACCAAGAAGGCTTGAGGCAATCGCTTCCTGGGAGGGAGGACATGCGTGCGTGCTGGGGGTGCCAGATGGAGCAGAATTCTTCCACCTTCCCACCTCCTGCACCCCAAGTGTTCAGCTAGCTGTGGTCTCTGCAACCTTATTCAAATACCAAAGGCAAGGGCTGGCTTGGGTGTTCCCAAGGGAGACCCGAATGATTCAATGCCTGAGGCCAGTTGCATTTCGGGAAGACGATGAATTTTAGGGAGCTACTAAACTGAAAAGTCTTTTTTCTGCTCAAAAATGGCTGCCTCGTTGGGGTGCAGTGGGGGAAAGCATGTGGGGTGGCACCACGTCAGATCTCACCCTCTAAGGCTTTAAGTGAGTCTGGAAGGACAGCAGGTGGAGCCGGGTTTTGGCAGGTGACTTGCTGGCTGCTGCTCCCTGGGCCTTGTGTGGCCTCACTTTGAAGCCCAGCTGCATCAGGGCATTTGGGCATTTGCACGGCAACCGTGGCGGGGGAGAGTGAGGGTGTGGGACAACAGCCGATCTGTCACCCCTGGGGTGCGATTCCTTGGTGTGGCCTCTGTAGCTCACACATTCCTGGGAAACCCACCCCCCAGAAGCCCCACACCTAGAACCTCAGTCTCTAAGGGGTCTCCCAACCACGTGGCTTGGCATCAAGCTGCCACGACTCAGCTCCCCTCCCTGACTTCTCTCCTCTGTCCCAGCCTGGTTTCTCGTGGTGCCCCACGCCCAGGCCATCCCTATTCCTAGAAACCTCTCTGCTCATAGCTCTAGGAGAACGTTCCTGAAGAGCTCCCTGGCTTCCTGGCTATAAAGACTTCAGATTGCTTGGAGTTCTTGTGCAGAGCTGAGCTGACCTGGGTCTTAGATCTGAGGTTTTGAGCTCGAAGACATTATTGCCTTCATTTCCCGAATGACATGGTGCACACTCTTCCTCACGCCTACGTCTGCACATCGGAGCTCTTTCCAGGAGATGCCGACTCCTGAAGCTCTCCACCCTTGAAGGGGCTTCTCCTAAGAGAACCTTGCAGCCACCTCCTCCTCCCCTGGGCCTCGTGGCAGTTGCATCTCATCCTCATGGCTGCAGATACATACATGCTATCCACTTACCTATTTCAAGTTTAATAGCCCGCCCTCAGAAAAGTCCTTTGCTGTTAAATGTAAGCATGGAACTTTCTGATGCGGTGGCTGTTGTGTGGTTTCGCATCCTCCTGAGCCGGTTGAGGATGTGAGGCCAGCCCGACAGAGGCAGGGGCAGGATGCAGGCTGGCAGAGTCGGAAAGAGCCAGTTCGGGGGGCCGAGGAATTATCTAGGCATGTTTTCCTCCTTGGTTCTCCAGGAAACCTCTTAGCAATGTCAACTTATGTTGTTTTCTTCTTTTTATAATTGCTGGGAACATACTAAGCCATATGTTCTAGCTCTTGGTTATCTGGAATCTAATAATAGTCTAATAATGCTTCATACCTGTAGGTGCATCATCTTTCCAGGTAATATACGAGCTGCTAAGGATGGGGGAGGGGAGGGAGCCATGTCTCATCCGGCTCTCTCTACCCAGGTATACAGTTCATAAAACCTATCTGAAGTTCCTCTTCTGTTCCGTGTGCTGTGCTGGTGCTGAGAATGCAAAGATAAGGATGATGTGACGTGACCTTCATCCCCAATGGGGAGGCAAGGAAACCTGATTTCAGCGTGGCACAGTGCCCACCGCGATGAGGCAGGCATGCACATTCTCGTGTGAGAGAATCTCAGGGTGGTTGTTTGAGAAGCTGAGACCTCAGCAAGGTCTGGAAGGGTGAACAGGGAGCAGGTGGAAAAGTGAGGGCAATCTCTACAGAGAACAGCATGAGCAATGGCCTGGAGGCACCTGTCTGGCAATCCAGAGAGTGGTCTGTGTTCTTGGAGTGTTGGGTTTAAGGTGAGGCATGGCGTAGGATGGACAAGCTTGAATTTCTGTACACATGTGTGCATGTGTATGTTGGGGCAGTGTAGCTGTGTGTGTCTGTATGTTAAGGCCGTGTGTGTGAGAGAGAGAGAGAGAGAGAAATGGGGTTGTCATGCATGCTGCACTGTTGCGCTCCAGCTTGATTCCGTGGGTGACAAGGGAGGAGACATTGGAACACGGAGGTGAATCACACAGAATGCCATGGTCAGGTTTGCATTTCGGAAAGCGCAGTCCGGAGGAAGATGGATGGACTGTGGGGACCCAGGGCAAAGCTATTTCAATGGTCCACCAAAGAGATGATGAGGCTTGGAGTCAGGGCAGCAGCTCAGGGAAAACTGTGAAAAATAATTAGGAGAAAGAATGGCCAGAGCCTCACCTTTAACTCTTCAGTTACCGAGTGAATCCTTGCGGATGGCAGCAGAACTGGGGAAGAGTGAGAGCATGGAGCCCCGCTGCTTTCGAATCACCTTGAGCAAATCGTGTTTGTCCGCCTCTGACTTGGGCAATTTTAGATCCCTGCTCTGCTCAGCCCACTCAGAACACTGGCTTCATTGATTTGGTTTCTCTCTCCCATCTCCTTGCCACCTGCCCCCGCACTCTGCTGGTCCCTGCCCACGACTGTTTTGAGTTGGAGGAAGTCCGGGAAGTCCGGAGGGTGGCTTGGATGGGGCGGATGCGGGCTTTCTCTCTTTGTAGTGTTCCCAGGGTTGAGGCTGAGGGTCTGTCTCCCCAAACTCCCCCTCCAAGTGGCCTAGAGTCTCTGCTCTCGTCCTGAAAACGCAGAGATCAGGCGAGCTGCTCTGCGGCTCCAAACCCCGTGAAAGGACCAGGGTAGGCCCCACGTAGTTTCTACTGGCCTTCAGCAAAATGGGGGAAATAAGAGGGCTGTACCATTTTTCATGAGTCTAAATTTATTCTGTTAAAGTTTCTGCTTTTATCCTGAGATTATCTTCTTCCCATCTTGTGATGTTAACAAGTCATTAAAAAAAAGGAACGATGGTGATAATAGGATTTATTTTTAATGTGCTTGTTTGGCAAAATATAAACTTGGCAATTTTGTGTTAATCTGCCCTCCCCAAAATTATTTTGAAATTTTCTTGGCACGTGAAATCTTAGAGTCTGGGAGCTGTTGAGATAGATGCTACATTGCTACTCCGGGAGGTAGATGATGGGTGAGAGCCTGACTCTGCAACCAGACATAGTCTAGGTCCACACTCGGCTCTAGCATTTACCAGCTGTGTGACTTCCGGGCTTGAGGTTCCTGCTCTGTAAAATGAGAATAATATAGCATCCATCTTGTATGGGTGTGGGGATCAGATGAGTTAATGTGTCTTCCCTATCATTATTACTTCTAAAGATTTCCATTGCAGGTATCATTTCCTTGTCTACCATGAGCTCAAACTCCAGAAATTCTACCCAAGAAATTTAGAATGTCTGTGCCTACTGATTAACCCTATCTCTCTCATATTTCTTTGGCATTTGGGGTTTTTATGAAGGAAAGAGGCAGAAAGAAAACAACGGGATTGAAAGGAGAAAAAGGTGGGGAAATGCTCTAGAGCTATTTGCATGTACCACAATTTTGGGGCCAACACAGAAGACTAAGAAGGGAGAACTAAAAGGACTCTCAAATAGCTGCCTTTGCTCCCTGTTTAGCACCATTTCTTTTGTACCATTAGGTCTGGCTCTTAGTTATGCTGGAAAGTTGAAAAATTCTGTGTTAACCCCAGTAGAAATGTCTCCCCCTTAGTGGCCTCTAATCTGTCACTCCCAGAAGACAGGCAGCTGCTTTTATATCTGTTCACTCTGGGTTCATAACGATTTCCTGTGGCACTGTCCTGGGGCCCTGCACAGGGAAAGAGCAGTGACTCAGAGGAAGGATTTCTGAGTCCACTGGGAGATTGCTGTTTGGTTAGGGGACTGTCCCTGCAGCCCTTAAAACTGAAGCATCTGTCCATGCCCCTCAGTGTAAGACCAGCCCTGCTTTTAAAAATGGAGCTTCTAGTACCGGCTTGGACATGCAGCATACATAGATTTAATCTTCCAAGGAGCAATGCAGAGGGGTGAGTGAGGAACAGGTAGGAACATGGGGTGGGGGTGTTGCAGAAGGTTCAATGGAGTTGTATGGCAGGATGAAGGCGTTTCAATGACAAGTCTCATCCAAGGACAGAGCAACCTTGGTATCTCAAGGCAAAAGATCAGACATGAGAGCATTTGGCAAAGCTCCCAGCGTGGGGTCCCAATCTAGAACATACAGTCACCCTCAACTTGGTTTAGCTAACTGGTCTACCTGACCTGCCATATCCCCCCACTCCCTATCCAAATAATGCCCTTCAAGATTATTCAGTTCAGTTCATTCATCAAGCACTTGTTAAGTCTTTCCTAAGAGCCAGATATTGTGCTCAGTTTGGGGGGGCACAATAAGACAGAGGCACCTTGAGAATAGGGCTGGATGTCCTTAATTTGAGACATGTGTCTTATGGGTATACAGAGTAATGAGATAAACCTCACCAGTCTTTCAAAGTATCAATTTTACTTGAAGATTGAGGAAAGTAAAGCAATTTTAATGCCAAGTAATTTAAAATAATATTCTTATATTAAAACAAACAGATCTATTATGGAATAGGGGCAAAATTTGCATATATTTAAAAAATAAAACTTGAGATTGCAAAGAAATTTTATGCAAGTGGTTGACTCTTTTGGACTACATCCCAGAAATTTGGAAATACACATGTTAGTTCTCTTCTGCCACTATGGGTACATTGGTTAAAAAGTTTGAAAGTTCTTTCTTTGTGTCATGGGGAGAAATGGAAAGGTTTTAGTGAGGGAAGAGTAATAATAAAGGTTGCAGTTTAGAAATGTTTCTCTCGAGGAATCCCAGGTAAACTTCCAGATCAAACACTTGCATTTATTTCCATTCCCTCCTATGACTCCGCTGAAATGGCCATAAAGAGTATTTTTTTTTAAAAAGGCAAACAATGTCCACAAAATTATGGAAGCTGGAAAAGCAATGGGCACATGACAAGTGACTTAGCAGTGTAGAGAAAGCTCAAACTGTGTTGGGGAGAAACCAAGAAGAAGCAAATTGGATTGCAGAAAGAACCAGAAATCAGAGGTAATGGCTTCCTCTGAAGTCTTTTGTTATAGTCTGTGTGCAGTGGGCTGGATTGTCTTCCCCAAGCCATATGTTGATGTCCTGTCCCCAAAGTGACAGTATTCAGAGATAGGGCCTTTAGGAGATAATTAAGGTTAAAGAAGGTCATACAGGTGTGGTCCTAATCTGAGAGGATTAGTTTCCCTCTAACAGGGGACACCAGAGAACTCTCTCTCTGCACACATGCACGAAAGAAAGGCCATGCGAGGACTAGTGAGAAGGCAGCCGACGGCAAGCCAGGAAAAGAGCCCTCACCAGAAACCAAATTGGCCAGAACCTTGATCTTAGACTTCAGCCTCCAGAGCTGAGAAAATACATTTCTGTTGTTTAAACCACCTAGTCTATGGTATTTTTTTTTGTTATGGCAGCCGAAGCTAAGACACAGTGGCTGGTAACAGGAGAAATGGTTGAAAGTCTTTATAAGGCGCAGTTACACCCATGACTTTAAATCCTCATTATGCATCGGTTGCATTGGGAAGAGTTAAAAATAGACAGGTCAGGACTGCACCCCAAGAGACTAAGATTTAATTGGTTCAGGAGAGGATCTAGGCATCAGTTTTTAAAAATGTTCCCCAGCTGTGCTAATGTGCACTCAGCATTGGGATAATATCTAAGTCCTACCAGATGCCCTTTCCAAGTCTGCCCTCCCAGGTTTCTGTCTATGACTTTCGTACAGGAATGAAGCTGTACTCTGGAGAAGTTGTACCAGAGCATCTCTAAACTTCGGTGTCACTAAGTAAAATTGGTGGTGGGGTTGAGTTAAAATCAATTTACTGAGACCTCTCAACCCCAGTCCCCCATTAAGCTTCCTAGAATGCTGGTAGCCAGGTTTATTTGCCCCAGGCAGGAGTTCCAAGTATTCTCTGAGTACAGAAATCCACCCAAGAGGCGGATTGAAGGGGTAGATGCTGTGTCTTAATGTGGTGGAAGGGAGGGAGGGCAAAGAGCATGGCTGGTTCCCTTGAGCCCTTTTATTAGGGCAGGAATCCCAGTCATGAGGGTGGAACCCTCACGACCTAATCACCTCCTACAGGCTCCACCTCTTAAAACTATCACATTGGGTCTTAATTCCAACATGTGAATTTGGAGGGGCACATACATTCAAGCCACAACACTGAGGGCTACATAAAAACTAAGCAAATAAGACAACCAGGAAAAACAAACAAACAAAACTGTACAGCAAAAGAAATATAATCCTAGTATGCAACATAGATCAAGCTGTGAATATTATAGCATTAAAACAATAAAAACAATTAAAATTGTGATATAACAATCTCAGGAGAATGAAGATGGGAAAAGTGTGTGTGTGTGTGTGTGTGTGTGTGTGTGTGTGTGTGTTTGCTTGTAAAAGATCTAAACCTTCGTCTTCCATAGTAGGAAGTCAACAGATAACCAAAACTAAAAAGCATCAACACACATAAGCATAAGCATGTTATTTAGAAATGTGAAAGTAAATGCCAGAAGGGATGATAGGGGTGGAGAAACGAAGGCCAGTCTTCATTGTAAGCCTTGAGTTATACTTGATTCCATAAACTCTGTAGTACTTCGATAAAAGTAAAGGTTAAAGTAAATTAGAAATACCATTTTTGTAGAAGTTCAGAGGTGGGACTGGAGAAGGGCTGAGCAGAGGTGGAGCAGGTGGTCAGGAGCCATGCAATGTCCTTGACATCCCAGGCTGGATTCCAGCACGCAGGCTGTCTATCAAGAAGGACCCTTGGGACCAACACCTGTGACGAGGTGGGCAGAGGAGCATGCTGTGCTGTGACGGAGGCTTCCCAGCAATCTCAGATGACCCCGCAGGACTCTGGGCTGTGCATGACAGTGTCCACTACAGTAGGTAGGAAGTGACGATGGCTTGAACTAGGTTGTGGCAGTGGGAACATGGAGAAGGGAGCAGACCTCAGCGGCATTTGGGAGGTAAAACCCACGTGACTTGCTGATTGGTGGTGGTGAGTGAAGGGAAGGAGTGCACTAGGATCATCTGGTATAAGACTGAGTTTCTTGCTTATAGGCTGGGTGGATGGTGGTGGTGACTGGCTTCACAAAGAGAGGGTGTGTAGGAGGAAAAGTGATAAATTCAGCTTGGGAAGAGCTGAATGGAGAGGCCCATAGGGGAGAAGAGCTGCTTGAAGCTTCTACTGCATCTTTTCACCGACATCTTTTCTCTTAACTACTGATGACTTTTATTTTCTGAACTCTACAATAAAACCCTAAAATATATTTCCTACTGAAATCTAACCTCCATTAAAGCAAGAATTTTTATTTTTGTTGGTCTTTGCTGTGTCCCAGTACCTAGAGCAGACCCTGGTGTTAAGTATGTAGCAAACATGGGCATTCATTGTTGGTCCAGTGTCCTGTTGCCAACACCATCTCTTTGTGTCGGGCCTCTTCAATGAGGGTGCAAGCCTTTTGCTCCTGCTATCACAAATTATTTTATTTCCTCACATCCCACAGCACCTAGCACGGAGCAGGGCACTAGGTACGCACGAGCCAAGTGCTTGTGGATTCGCTGATTGGGGAATGGCCAGGGGATCCCAGGCCCCTGAGTGCCTGGGCACCCCCACACCCCACTCTGCCTCCCAGACCTGCCTCCTGTGATGCTCTCTCTGGTGCTCAACCTGACAGAGGCTCTGCAGGGTGTGTGTGAATGGTGTGAAAAGACAGTGCCCTGAGAGAGGGGAGACTCCATTTAAAATATTGCAGAATTAGCCAGCTTGACTGAAGATGAACTCACATTATGTACATCAGCAGGGCAGGGAGGTAGTTGCATTTTAGGGCCACAAAAGTCAGAGAGGCAGAGTTAGGGATCCCCTGATTGTTTAACTCTACTCCTGCAAGCTCCAGCATTATTCCGGGCTGGAGGGTCTTTGATCATGTGACAGTATAACCCCGCGAGTGACTCAGCACTCTCCACCGCTCCTGGGCTCAAGTCACTGGTCTGAGCCCATCAGGGAGTTTAGGTTCTTTCAAAGATGGAAAAAGTAAGCAGAGGGGAAATATGAAGAACAAAGAGGGAAAAACCTTAAAGGCCAAATATATTGCTTTGTTGTTAGGGCTCAGTTTCCTGTGGGTGAAAATGCATTCACGGCATTGGCCATTCGTGGGGAAGGAGTTATTTTATCTACTTTATACAAGGAGAGTAAATTGGGCAATCCTGAAATAGAAGAAAGGCTGGTGACTTGGGCTGTTTGTTCTCTTACAGGGCTCTGTACTCATGCTTCCGGCTCATGCTCGAGGACTGACTCAGAGGTAGGTGAACGTTTGAAGTTTTATGGTAAAGTTGCTTCTAAGAGCGGTGGAGAAGTTGTGGGGAGCCTAAATAGGGCGGCCTTTGTAGACTTTGCTGGTGGGACTGGTGTTTAACCTTTAAATTGCTAAACACAAAATCAGCAACCTGTGAGTTATGTGGACCAAGTTCCTGCCTTATACCAGGACCCAGGAATCGCAGTTTCCAGATTCCCATGCTTCCTTTTCCAAGATTGAGCAGCTCCCAGATGTGACTTCGCCTGTGAAGCAGGACTTGGGTTTTGAGTCAGTTTCTAGATCATGAGGATGAGTTTGCAACCATCTGCTCATGCTCTCTGTGGCCCCAGTGACCTCTGGTGTAAACACTTGGACTATTGGGCGTGGGGTCTGTGATCTGTGCTCATGGAGCAAGGATCACCTTTCTCAGTGTTAAGAGGCAGAACCGGCAGCCATGTGAGCTAACCCACCAGACATGTGCTTATGGCTGGGGACTGGAGTTCGTACATGCTTTGTACATTGTGTGATCCTAATGAGCATTATGCCACTGTCACTACTGGTACTACCATTATAATAAGAGCATCAGAGGATCTTAGCAATGAAAGAGCATTGGTACTTGGAGTGTGAAAATGTAGTTGCAGTCCTGCAACTGCCTTGGACTAGCTGTGCAGCCTTGAGCATGCTACCTAACCTCTCTGAAATCCTGTTTCTATGAAAGGATGATGATCTTTGTCTGCATTGCATCACAGTGGGTTCTGAGGATTGAACAAGACAGTGTAAAGGAAAGTGCTATGTAAACTGTACTCTGTGGCCAATATGCTGATTGCAATATAAAGACTTAGCTCCCTTATTCTTGCATTCCCTGGATATTAAGTGCCTGACATGTGCTGGATGCTAAGCCAGGTACTGGGAGTACAACAGGCAAAAAAAAAAAGCAACTAAACAGCACGTCTTTATAGTCCAATGTTAAGATTTCCGTGTTCAGATCTGCTGATCTGCCACCTTTGGGTGAAGAGCCGCATACACTGGGGGTTGCTTCCTGCTAGATCTTTGGATGGGCCACCTGGAAGGGCCTTTGGAAAGGTGTTTTCAAACTGTGCTCTGCAGAGCCCAAAGATCCCAGGGGAAACTCACACGGGCAAGGGGCAGAGCAAACAGGAGGGACTCTGGGCCCTCCTCCCTGCAAAGAGAAGCCGGGCTTGCTTCTCTTTGCCTGCTGTATTCGATTGTTTGAAAACTGCTGCTTTGGGGGAAGGAGCTGGACAGCCTGACTCCTTGATCTTTTCTAACTTTTGCATTTGACTCATGGGTGACCTCTTGCTCCTGCCACCCTCCAAATAAATCTCTTTCCCCCTCTCCTTTCCTAGTGGCAGTGGGAGGCATAGGCTTCTTGTCGCCGTTCTTGGAAGTAACCATGGTATAAAGACTTTAATCCCAGTTCTTATATCCAAAGGGGGCGGGGCTGGGTGGGCCTCCTGGAGGCATGGATTGGTTCCTTTCATAGCCGTAGGATAACAGCCTGTGCAAAGAGCTTTGACGGCCACCTGGCTATGCGGCTGTGTTTCGAGAAATGCCGGGCATGACTGTACCCGAGGCAATTTCTCCACTCCACAGAAAGTCAACCTCCACAGGTGACTTGGCTACCATGTGGCAGCTTCACCCCTGGCCCCGAGCTCGTGGGCGGCATTCTAATAGCAAATGGCATTTTGGATAGTCTTTGACCTTGGATGAAACAATTCTGCAGCATCTAGACTCCCTGCAGTAATTGACCCTGACGGCTGCCAGAACATTTCCAAGGGAACAGGGTCCCTAAGCCTGAAGCACTGACCCCCAACAGGGGTCACCCAGGAAGTGGTCCTTCTCAGGCTACAGTGGGGACCAGAAAAGGGATGAAAGGCCTTTTCTTAGCCAAACTGTACAACATTTCAGAGGTTTTGTTTGTTTGTTTTGTCTTCTGATAGTTCCTAAGTATTTAGACAGTTTCTAAGGTGGAGTATTCTGTCCTGGGAGATATACCCAAATGCCCAGGACTGTTCCTTGATTAATTTTGCAATGCTTTTTATAGAACCCATAGACATTTTAATGAGCTAATCCTCACGACAGTGCTGATTGTTGCTGTAATAAATAAACCCCCAAATGCTCGGACGTGACAGAAGTTTGTTTCTTGCTCACATTAAATCCCAAACAGGTGTTCCGGACTGGCGAACGTCTCTTTTCCAAGTGGTTATTCAAGGACCAGGTAGGTATCTTTCCTCTGTGTTTCCACCATCTCCAATGTGTGGCTTCCAGGCTCCTCATGCTTATTTGCATCAAGCAGGTGGGGAGGGGAGGAGAGCATGGGAGACGGTGTGTGGAAGGTTTTCATAGGCCAGCCCTGGAAGGGGTGAGCATCACTCCACTTACATTTCCAGGGCTAGAGCCCAGTAGCAAGGCTCCACCTGATGGCAAAGAAGTCTGGGAAATGTAGTCTAGCTGTGTGCCCAAGGAGAAGAGAGAACAGTCTTCTTAGGTTGTGTCTCCCCATTTATTTGGGGGTGGAGGAAGCAGGCAAGAAATATAGTAGAGTGAGGAAAACTGTCTTAAATAGCTGCAATGCAGTTGACCTTTTACATTCAGAATGCTCCTGTGCAAAATAAAACAACAGTGGGACACTATTTTCACTCATCTGATTTGTAATTGTTTTAAAGTTTGATACTGATGGCAAAGGTTTAGGGAAACTGGTTCTCTCCTACCTTACTTGTGGAAAAGCAAATTGGCGCAGCCACTTTGGAATGCTATTTATCAGTGTTTATGAACATTTTAAATGTTCATGTCCTTTGACCTAGTAATTCTATTTTCTCACTATATCTCCTAGAGTAACACTTAAGATGATTGTTGCAGCAACATACATAAACCAACATAAACCAAAAGATTAAAAGCCACCTAAATGTCCAGCAATAATAATAATACTTACTTAAATACTTAAAAATAATACCTACTTTTTTAGGTTAGTAAACTATGGTTCACTTGCGTGATAGAATATCATGGATTGGTGCTATGGACTGAATGTTTGTGTCCCCCAAAAATTCATATGTGGAAGCCCTAATCCCCAGTGTGATGGTATTTGGAGGTGGGGCCTTTGGGAGGTGGAGCTATCATGAATGGAATTCATGCCCTTGTAAGAAAAGACATGAGAGAAATGTTCTCTCTCTCCACCATGTAAGGATACTTAGCAAAAGAGAGGCCGTCTGCAAACCAGCGAGCAGGCCCTCCCCAGAAACTAAACCAGCCAGTGCCTCAATCTTGGCCTTCCAGCCTCCAGAACTGCGAGAAACGAATGTCTGTCATTTAAGACACCCAGTTGATGGGATTCTGTGAGAGCAGCCTGAACTAAGACCAATGATTAAAAATATAAGATAGCTTTATGTGAGCAGACATGGAAAGGGCTCGAAGCCATATTCCAAATGAAAAAAGTAGTTGCAGAGCAAAGGTACCATACTATGCCATTTGTAGACATAAAAACAAGAACAAGACAAAACTATACATTTTTCTAGGTCCATACACATTTATATGTATAAAAGCATAGGGAAAGGTCTGGAAGGATACAAGCCATGGAAAAATCATTACCTTTGTGGGATAGGACTGGATTTGAAGGGGTAATAAAGGGGACTTTAGTTTTTATTGTTTGGATTTTAATAATCCTAAAGCACCATCAATGTACTACTTATATAATTAAAAATAAATGAATGACAATAAAGAAGTGAAGCAAATAAATAAAATAAAAAGAAAATAAAAACCTAAGTATGTTGGACTTTGCAGATATATATAACAATGTTATTTATTATGTTTCATTATTATCTTATTGTTTTAAGATCTTCAAAAAAGAAACAAAAAACTATTCAAAACAACAAGAACCTTCTCAGAAATCCTACTCAGAAGCAGGCTACTTTCCCAAGGTCACCCCAGAAATCACAGGCGAGGGTGAAGTTATAACCTTATGCATACTGAGTATGACATTCCCCCCTTCAAGACCAGTCAGTGACAATGTGGCCTTGTAGCCTCAAACATGCTTAGCATTAAAAAAGAGCTTATCAAGAAGAAGCGATGAGTAATGTTGTTGTTGTCCAGTAGTTCTCAGATTACACTCCAGTAACCCAACAATTGGACTGAGGTTCCACATCTAGAATCCGATAGTCAGTCACACATATTTGTTTAGTTTCTAGAATATACCAGACACCCTGCTAGGAACTGAAACAGAGCGATGGTTAATATAGTCATTGCCACTTTGCTTGTGGAGCCTGTAGTCTAGAGATAGTTTCCTAATTGACAGAAAACATTTAGATAATTCATAGAATTCAGCTTTTCTCCCATAAACTTTTCCTTTGACTTTTGAGATTGCTTACAACTCAGCAAACACAGACGACGGCAATAAACTTGGTGAACCTGTAGCAAATGAGTATTAATATGAAAATTCAGAAATATTGTTTTTATGTTTCATTTAACAACTAATCTTTTTGGACAGGTGTGCATGGTTATTATATTTCATACATATGATATAATCATATTGTCTCCAACTAAAATTGTTGATTTGTAAATGGAATTAAAATTATCTCATGGGGCTATACAGAGAAGTCATGATTTACTGGCTTGATACTACCTGGAAAAGTTTGAGAACCACAGACGTATACTTTGATCATTTGCATAGTTGTTTATTTTTCTTAAGGATTCAAAAAAGGCAGAAATCTTTGTTATTAAGTTTTTTTGGGATTTACACTTCGCTGACATTTTCCCAGCGTTCTGAGTCATTTCCTTCTGAGCCACAGCTTGGGCAGTTACCAGGCAGTGGCTGGGTCATAGAAATACGGTCTAATGAATTTTAAAATTTTCCAAATAATTCCTGTCCTCTCCTTGCATTTTTTTTAATGCCATGATGTCTGTAGTGATACTTCTTTTATCATTTTTTTGAGACAGGATCTTGCTCTGTCACTCAGGCTAGAGTGCTATGGCGTCAACCTAGCTCACAGCAGCCTCAAACTCCTGGGTTCGGGTGATCCTCCTGCTTCAGCCTCCCGAGTAGCTGGGACTACAGGCATGAGCCACCATATCTGGATAATTTTTTCTAGTTTTAGTAGAGATAGGGTCTTGTTCTTGCTCAGGCCGGTCTCAAACCCCTGACCTCAAGCAATCCTCCCACCTCAGCCTCCCAGAGTGCTAAAGTTACAGGTGTGAGCCACCATGCCCAGCCTGTAGTGATAACTTCTTAAATCCACTTTTCTTTCCTATCCACTCCTCTCCGAACAGCTCAGTTACTCAAAAACTGTCTCTCAATGCTACCTCTCCCCTACTTTTCTCTCTCCTCCTCCTGGCCTCACGCTCGTGTATCACAGACTCTCAAAGCACTGGTCTGGCCAGAATGAGGCTGAACGTGAAGAGGAGGGAAAGACCGAGAGGCAGGCCAGCTGGGCAGAACTGGAGGGAGGTGGGAGGACGGCAGAGAACAGCCACAGGTTAATAAGGATTATGCCTTCACATGGTCATTTGTGAAAGGATTTGCATAGTCAGCACATATGTATTAAGCACCTGTGAAGTGCCACGCCTGGTGATAGCATAGTGAGCAGAATGAACACAGCCTCTGCCTTCGGGAAGCTTCCCCCAGAGGGACGCAGAGCAGGCATTCACGGTGCAGTGTGACGAGTGCTGTGGACAGCAGTGTAGGGGGACAAGCTTCCTTGAAGAAGGCCACATAGCACAGCCAGAAGCCAGATGCTGCTAGTTGTCCACTAATATCCCTTTTCCTCTTCCTCCTGCAATAATAGCACACCCAAAATTTAGCTGGCCAATGGCTGCCCAGCTAGAGACTGTATTTCCCAGGCTTCCTCACAGCCAAGTTTGGCCTCTTGACTAAATTCTGGTCAACGAGGCCTGAATCTTGTATGCAACTTCTGGTTTACTTCCATATGATGAAGCACATGCCTTCCTCCTCCTATTCCTGTCGTCTGGGAAGTGGGCCTGCAGGGGGTAACTGGAGCGGCCACCTTAGACCATGAAATGGAAGCCCAATGGTAAAGGTGGCAGAGGAGAAAGATAGAATGATCCAGAAACAATATTGTGCAGCAGAGTCACCTTATCAGCCCAAGACCTGCAAACAACTATGCGAGAAAGAAAAAAAAATTCTATCTGGTGTTAGCTACTGTCATTTAGTTTCTGTTCGGGTAGCTGGACCGATGTATTAAGTCATATATCATTTCTAAAAGAGAATTCCAAATTTCTAATCTCCTCTTCTTATCCACTTGGGATCCCACGGTGTATTTCAGTTGCAGGCCTTGGATCAACCAATCTGGGAGGCAGCTGGGCAATGGGCTGTCAATGTTTTAGATTCCGTAGAGAGGCTGCCTCTGTGATCTAGGTACTCTCCCAACTTAATTCCCCTGAACATTTCTAAAAGGCAGAGATCACTGCTTTGGTTGCTGAAAGAATAGCCTTGAAGGAAAAGGATTTATGTATTTGGCCTGAAATCAAACTCCTTTCCATTAGGAAGACACAGGACATGCAGAAAGTGGGAATACAGCGTCATTTTTCACTCTCGGCTTGGAGCTCTTCAGCCCAGTGTTCCGCGATGGCCTTTGGGTTAGAGTGAAAACTGCCCATCGGTTCCTGGGGCAAGTCCACCCAGATGGTGCCTTCCTGGTCTCTAGGTTTGGGCTTCAGACTCTGGGCCATTTCTTTTTTTTTAGTGTATTACAATTTTTTTTAAATTCTATTTCAGCATATTATGGGGGTACAGATTTTAAGGCTTCAAATGCTTTAAGTCCATCCCTCACCCTGCTTCCTGCTCTTCCTCCATGGTGCTGTGACTTACTGTCACTACCCTCTGGGCGTGAGAGCAGGGAGAGACCAGGCCCCAGAGGGCAAAACCATGCCTGTGATGGCACTCGGGTTCCTCACAAATAGGACCCGTCAGGAGAAGCTAGGTTGTGCTGCAGTAACGAAAGCTTTCAAACCTCAGATCCTACGTGGCTTGCAATGCCTGCTCATTCAGCCACTCAAGGGAACCCAGAGGACCGTCTCATGGCACCAAACCCAACATGATTCAGGCTTTGTTGTGGCGAGAGGAGAGAGGGCATGGGGAGTTCTTGACGCTCCTAACCAGAAGTGACCGTTTGCTGGGCAGACCAAGTCACGTAGCCACTCCTAACTTCAAGGGGAGCAGCAGTGACAGAGACAACCTGTGAAAGGGTCATGGTCAAACACAGCGAGTCT